AATAATAATAATAGTAATAATAATAATAATAGTGAACTTACATAATAAAAAAGAAGCAAAATTATAGTAAGAACTTTACTCTGGCCACGGTAGGGCGAGAGAATGTATGTATCGCTTTTGAATGCAGAGGACAGTTTCAGATCTCGAATAGCTAATGCTTCATCTATGTACAGTTGGCGTATGCGAAGTCCCTTTGTACGATATTGAGGGACTCTGTGCAGCACTGTGAAGCATTCATGCGGGGGTGGTCAATGTCCGGAGATGACAAGGTGTTCGAGGATAGAGCTTCTGTTATTCTTCTTTTCTCCTCTGGCTAACCAAGCTGGACAGTGTTCCAAAATACGTTTGTGGACTTGAAGTTGCGTACGGCCGATATACTTTGCTCCACACAAGCAAGTAAATAGTGCTTCTGAATCCTTTTATTTGTCACATGGAATATGGTGCTTTGAACCGTTACACCTCTGTGCTAAGTCAGCCAACAATGAAAAAAATTTGAAATACATTCTAGATTCACTCAAAAAAACTTCCCCGCAGCTCTATCCTCTACGAAAAGATCGCTTTGGGACACCGAACAAACTAGCGAAGCAACTTCACAGTCACCTTAAGAGTATTTTCGGAAATGTTGTTAGAGTATAAATTCAAATTCTTTAAACTGCAGAAGCTATGGTAATCCACATGTTAAATCCTGAACTCTAAATACAGAAGTTTGTTCAGACATTAAACTTACAATGGACCTAATTCGACGGGTAATTTTATTAATCCTTATATCTCATAGGCGTTAGAAGCAAGTCATAGCATAATCAAGAAATTTGTATGATAGTGATGATGACTAAGAAGAATAAGATGACTCAGAAGAATTATGTAAAATACAAACAAGTTAACAGAATTAGATAGAAGTGTAAAAAAAAAAGTCAAAAGATAGTAGGGGAAGGGAAAAATCATTTTTTAAAACCTGATACATATTATGTAGTTGGCTATGGCGAAGAAAGGGTCTGTACAAATTTCTTTTGAACAGACAGATTTGTCTTGTTCAGATGAATTCCGATTGCTTCTGGTGTATGTAAAAGTCGTACTCGTAGACCATGCGAGTGTTTGGGTGAAATACGATCAACAAATAACTTGAAAAGCTTTGTTAGAGTGAGTCGATCTGATGTCCAGTCAGTATCGACGAGATGAGCTGATATCGAGCTGCCAAACCAAGATAGGAGTTATTCAGAAATTCGACGATGAACTTGCCTGATTGTATGCCCAGTGCAACTAGCTATGCACGGACAGTTAAACTGGTAAATACACATGGAAGAGGCGAAACAGAACAGTTTGACTTTATTTCTTGAACTAGGTAATGGATGGCTAGTGGAAATACAGCATTGCTTAGCTGCGTTGAAAGGCCTTTTGAAGGTCCTTCTCAGAAGTTGTGATTAGATCTCACTACTGACATCACCTTAGGATGACTGACTTTTTGGGGACAGCCAGCAAATCCGACTTTTTCCTTTCTGAGTTCATGTTTGTTCAAGAGTTAAGTCGGATATCCATTTCTAATTACCAGATCAGGAATATTACCAAGTTCTTCGTTCAGTGTCTCATTTGGACAAGTAACTCAATCCGGTGAACCAGACATCTAACCACATTACGTTTGTATTGTACGTGCAAAAAACCCAGTAAGTGGGCATTTTGTCCAGTTAAAGTAGGTTTCCAATGCAAATATCTACATATTATTCCGTCTGTTCGCCTAATCATTAGAAGTCCAGAAATGAGATAGTCATTTTATTCCTCTTCTTGAGTGAAGCTTGTGCTAGGATGTACTTTATTAAATTTCTCCAATACGTCTTTAGCAGCACTTTCTTTCTTCACAAATATAAATTAATCATCGATATGTCCCCAATGGATATCAAGATTATATATTACATCTTTGAGAGGATCATTCTAATTTCCCCAGGAAAAAATCCGCTAGGATTTGGTCCAGTAGTGATCCCATCGCAACAGCATCTGATTGTCTATACATTTTCAGAACTCTTATATATTTTCCTGTTTCTATGTGCATCCTAATCACTCACCAAACTATTCATCTTATTAGGACACTGTAACAACGTTACCCGAAGTCTTTTGTTGGCAAACAAATGTTTTTTTACAACACATGACTCATACTAATCTTCAACCACCCGCCCTCCGGTAAAGTGTGATTACTCACCACATTTTCGAAATGTCTCGACAACAAGTGAATGAATTCGCCAAAGAGGCTTCGCTGGACTGTTTTATATTCATTAATTTCTTCATTGAACAGAAAGTTTACGTTTACTGCACACCTTAGAAGTTCCTTTAGATGTGACACAGGAATTCTAGCCTCCATCATATCATACCCTCTGTAATCAATCAACTGCTTTCATCAATGGCATCATTATTCTACAAATTTCTTGATTATGCAGTCCCTATTTTCTTTTCATTTTGTCTATCCTTTCCCACTGATAAATTTTTGATCCTTGTAACACTGGTCTTAACTTGCCCCTTTCTGAAATTCAATTGAACTTCACTCAATGCAGCCAGTTATGTTCCATCACCCAGTATGTTTTAGTTTCCAATCGATAAATGCTCAGTAATACGTCGCTAGTACCTAAAACTTCTGATGACAGATCTTGTGAAACTTGATCTTCTTTGCTGAGACATTATATACATATATATATTTATGTCTATATATGTATATATATATATTTATTCTATATATATATGTCTATATATATATATATATATATATATATATACAGAAAAGTTCTCCATGAAATGAGTGATCAAGAAAGTCGAAAAGAACTATTCGACTGCGAGCTTTAAGCCTCTGCATGCACGATTGCAAATCAAACATGACGAACCGCGTGAAATGATAATCAACAGGCTAAGAAAATCGATTCAAAAAATTTCCAATAATAGTACACTGCAGTTCATATTTCCACCTAACCCGCTGTGACCCTCAATTGAAAGACGAAGTACTCGGTTAGCTAACCTTTCCTTTAACTATCAATTCAGCTGCTTCTGAGGAGCTAGTTATACTGACTGTTGTCTTAGGAACTTAAATTTCCGTACCCAGAAAAATCTACCAGTACGGCTAAATTAAGGTGTAGTGAAAAATACCATCAGCTCTACATCTGACCAAAAAAGGCCGTAAATGTACTGACAATTACTTTGATAGGTTTTGTTCTCCTTTAATTCCCTTAAGTGATAGTCCATATAATGCAGAAACTATTAGTCCATATGAGAAACTCAGTCTTAGCACACTAAACCGATGTTTTCGTGCCAAGTATTACAGAAAATTCTGTTGCATAATGCTGTTAGACAAAAGATAAACGAATAACCGACACAGAAAGTTTCATTTCAAATGATTTAACAATCGCAGAAATGTGCTGTGAAATTGTATACCGACGTTCGACAGACTACTTAATCTGAAGGTGGTATGAGTTATTTGTATCACTGGTCAATTTATTTTATGTATGACCACCACACATGGATCAACAGACAAGTGCTGAGAGATCAAACACTCTTGCTGATTTCCTGAATACACTAGAACCTAGTTCTACTTCGTGCCTTCTTATGACACCTGCCATGATCTGCGATATTACCAAAGGCCTGAACGACACCAAGAGTGAAGCAAGACAGTTTAGACACTGTAGTTCATTTAACATGTATTATTTCAGCGCAGCAAAAAACCATTAAACAAGTCTTCTCTGTTTCGTTGAAGACTTGTGGCGGGTACATTTATTTTACTGCATATATGTACGACTTACTGATCACATACATAAGTCTTAATGAATAGACTGTTACTTGCTGTTCATGTCAATTCAATGGTGTATTACACTGTATCAAACTTTGACGAGTACAATAACTACGAAACAAAACCAGCAGCATCATTCGAAGTCTTCAGTTAAATGTATGTGTTTAAGGTATGTCCTAACATCTTAGATATCAACTTCAATATGTCTGCTACTTGGTGTGGCAACCACAACTGCTGCACTTCTACGCTAAAACTTGGTAAGGTATCAAAAAGTTTGGATAGAGTTAGTTTTGTCCGTCAGATTACGGCAACACGCGCAAATACATAAAGTTACAGCCGGAAGATTTCTTCAAACTATCCTCACCCTTGTGGAATATGATCGATTTTAAGCCATATGCAGGCATAAGTTAACGGATAACTGGGATTATTATTATTATTTCCTTTAATTCCTAGAGGAACATAGGGATAAGTGGGATAGGGATAATTTACTCAATGCTTAGTAATGTGGATGTTATACCAAGACCATTAACCCTACAGTGCATTGACTCCAAATCCACCTATATCTAATTATAGTCCTATTCCTGCCTTCAGCCTTTTCACTCTCTGCTTTGGGTATTCCAGTTATTAGACGCCCCTGTTATTCCCTCAATTTACACCTTCAACTTCACTTTCACGACACCTCAATTATCCCCCTTATACACGCATGATCTATTGTGATCTAACCTTGTTGCCTACTGATGTTAACACTTCCTTGGCAGTCATACTTTCTATGGACTACTACTACTTCGCTACGTCAAAATTAATATTTGGAATTATTTATACACGAATGTCCAGCTTGAAAATAAAGTGACCAACATAGGTAAAACACTATATGTAAGCGGAGTCCAAGACGCATAATTAACTCGAATCGACACAGCTCTCTGTTCATGTGAGAACATGCCTGATATCATATTTGCAAATTCTTCGATTGCGCCATAAGAAAATTACCATATAATCAATAACCCTGCAGTGTGTCAGATGATGGAATAACTGTGAAATCTGGATTTTATTTGGTTAACCACAGTCAATATACATAAGGCCTGCGCATAAAACACCACGATAAACATACTGCAGGGCAATGTAACCAACCGTAGATGGCCAGAATGTCAACTAAAGTAGTGTCAACTTAAATTCACGCAAACTATACAAACGAATTTTTCACATCACTCACAAGAGTGATTACTGAATGTTACTAAACACTTTACGGAGAAATACCCTGACATGCTTACGGACTACTCTATTTGGAAATATTTATCACGGCTACGCATACTGTTCAGCCCTCTGCATTATAACATAACTAATTTGTAGTCTGAACACGCCTAGATCTATTGAAAAATACAAAATATAAGTGAATAAGAAATCTGATCCCTGACAGACAAAATTGAAACCGTTATAATTGAAACTGTTATAATTAAGAGTTAGTTTGTTAGGATTAGATGCGTTCCTACGAGTTTGACTACGGATTGATATCAGTTAGAAGACCATTGAAAAACAGTACTCCCTGGTTTTCAGTAGTTATTACTTGGATTAAAAATCAACGGCTTACGTCATCAGTCTCTGTTCATGAGTAACGCGTGCAGGCACCAGGAAAATTTCTACGAGACCGACTAATGATAATCTAGCTATAACGACATACTGTTAGGAAGTCAGAGGAAAATGCATCAAGGGAAATTATCCCAGTGTATAAGTTTATTTCATCATTCATCACGTGCATCTAACAGTCGCTTTTAAGATCTGAAATACAAGGTACTCACTAATTTTTAGTTTAGATACGATATCAACTTACGTATTTCTCTTCCGTCAGTCCATCCTTGAAGAATATGAAATATGGAGTCATTCCGTCTTCGCGATAGTTCATTAACACCACCATGCCGTCGGGATTCATCGATTCACCAGTATAATATTCGTAATCGTCTAGATTTTTTAAGACGTTTGCCATATATCCCTTCACGTTATTTTCAAATATTGAGACTCGTTCAGGATTTTCACTTGATAAACGCTCCTTTATGGACTTCAAATAACCCTTGAAGTATCAACATGACACAGAGAACCACTTACTTTGAGATACGTTCTGTAGCTTGATTTGTCGAATTGGGTGCTGACAAGGCGACTTCCATGCACCAAGTCAATAACCCGTTCAGCGGTATCGCTGACTTCCTCAGCGCCTTCGCCCTCCCCAGATGGATTAGCACCGATTAATCTACTATCAACCGAGTTTGTAACTGTCGTGAACTTGGCGTTGACTTCATAAATGACGTCATCTATTAACTTTGGCATGTGTGAATCTGAGAACATTTCATCACCTAAGAAAAAATGCATAGTTGTAACCTAAAAATATACCAGTGATTGCATCCTTGAAAACACGCATCGTCCGGGCGAGATAGGCGCGCAAATGTGTCCCAGAATGGAATAAACAACTGCAGATTAAGGTCAACTGGGACATTCAATGTTTCACATCGTTCCAATTTTCGTTATTTGCTTTGTTTTCTATGACTGTGCTGTCGAAACATAACCCTACACTGCCAATTTAAGAAACGATATATGGTGCAGCATGTTAGTAATGGATTCAGCATAATTAAATCTGTTGTACGAGCCGACATATAGACGCGTGAAACACGATTATGATTAAATTCTAACCTTCATATACTGTAAATAGTGACGTTTTAAGATTTTCATCAGTGTGAGAAGAGTTTTTTTGAATTTCCTAACTCTGCTGTAAGATATTTGATATATTCCACAGGTAAGAATTGTGATTTTACTTAGCGGAGAGCATATTCTCATGTGTGTTGTTTTGTCTCAATAATAACAATCTTGTAAAAATAATAATTAAGTAAATAATTTGAATCACAGATACATGACGCTGGGAACCGATTTAATTACATTTGCCTTCCACTTTCTAAAAACTACCTATCAGTTGGTCAGTGGATGATTGCTGAGTTGAAAGCCATCAGTGGATTTTTGAATGACCGAAATTTCCAATTCTAACTCACTTCCGTTATTATGATTTTTCACTCCTTGGATTCCAGACAGAGCATATTGGTCTGGCTGAGCATCTTCATGTCAAGCTCGTCACCTCTTCATTTCGAGATGGCCTTGCAAATACCCTCTTCATGTGGTCTCCATATTACCTTCAGCCGCCCATCATTTTAATTCCATTTTAGGTTCCACTCCTGGGCCCAGCTTGTGATGTTAATCAATGTTCTCCCTAGCTGGCACCCATCCCATAGCCACTTTTTTGTGCATATCTACTGGGCAGTAAGTCTGGATTGGTTTGACTTCGGCGGTCCTAGGAAATACTCTGACACTGAGTACTGAGAAAAAGCAGCTCGTTGAAAACGCTTTCCATCTTCAAATCAGTGATAGATAAATGAATAGTTGTCTTCTTTTCCATATTTATTCCTGAACTACTCATCTAGGGCGTTTCTTCTGAATACGTTTTACGCCTACCTCTCAATCCAGAAAACGTTTTTTCTGTGAATTGTCCTCTTCGGGAACCTGATATTCCTAGTCGATAGATTTAATCCAGCCATTACTTCCACACCGAATCTCTATGTGGTAAGTCTGGTTGTCTCGAACTACTGCCAAAGCTTCAGGTGCTACTTTCGTAGCGGCACCTACATCATCTGATTACATATACAAAACCTGTTGGTATGATATGAGATTGTCGTTAAGGTGAACACCCTGAAAGTTCTGGCTGAAGTCGAAAACACCCTTCATAGACTTCAACAATCTTTCTGTTCTTGTCATACTGAGCGGAAGCTTGCTATTTTTTATTTTTATTCAATCATAATAAATGGAAGCTGATTATATCATGGTGAAATCCAGCTTTAAGAGAAGCGTTATTGAGCTTATTCATCAGGCTCTAATCTAAGGAAGAAAGTAATCTGGCCAAATTAACGCCATTTCGTGTACCGGTTCCTGGTACTCAAGTAAATACTTTGTGCTCCGATAGTGTACCTACATATCCACAGTCCATTATTAAAACTGTACATGTAGGAGCAATTGGACATGTTACCAGACTTGTCTCTAAAAGAAGCTAATATTTCAGACAGAAGAGGACCTGGCAGATATGCTCAAGGCATCATAAGAGCACAGAATTTTCTTGTAAAGAAGACAACGGCCATGTATGAATTTCTTGCCAAAGAAATTTACTCGGCATTTGATTTCAACTTTTGCAAGGGTTTGATGTGTAGTGGTGTTATACAGACGATGTGTTCCAACAGAATATTATTGTCGCAGTAGGAATCATTGTATTTGTTAGTGTTAACGTCAGAATACTATTCCTATGGTTCAGTGCCGCATCAGCGACAGAAAAATATGTGTATTTGAATACTCTACTTCATGTGGATAAAATAAGCCAAAATCACACTCTCAGTGATTGGCTAAAGAATATAAACTGTATAAAAATAAATAGCAAATTGATCATTTCAAAATAAACCTTGGCTTCCGTGTCTTGCATTCTGCTGTAGCAGGTGCACTTACACTGCGACAAACAAGTGCTGAAACCATCTTATGAGTTAATGAGGAGTAACCCATGTTCATTGTTCTGGTACAATGTCCACTTTGTCGTCCTGACACAGTCTCACGCTGTGTCCCTGCTGGAAATGAAAACAGCAAGCCACCAAAATTGGCCGAGAACAGACTAGGAGTACCAAGCCACAGAAAGTGAAGACAACTACAGTCGTACCTAGTAAATATTTGACTATCATAAAACCTAGTAACACCCCAGCAGGGGGAGGAGGGAACTTCCGAATCGCCAAGAGACGACTAGCAAACTACAACAGCCATGGCAGTTTGATGCGGAGTAATCAAACCAAGAACCATTCTGAATGTCACCAACCTTCCAAAGGATGACAATCATTCAAATATCAAATATTAATGTGAGATCGGTTGTTGAAACTGTATTGTAGTCTTTAACGCATTGGTGGGCAGTATCAATTCGCATGAGCAGAGGGCACAGTTTGATCAGTGACAACTGTCTAATTTTTGTGAAAAAATTAGGGCTTGACATCATGTCATTAAAGATGTGTAGACTTTGCAGGGGTGTTTACGCTTACCAATATAAGCCACCTTCATTAGGGTTGACATCGAGCTCTGCTAAAGACTGAAAATTAATTGGAACTGTCATAAGTACCAGCCATATTCAGTATCTCCAAAATAAGAATAAGACTTGATAGGTCATGGGAAGATGGAAAAGTGGTGGGGTGGTTTCTGCAACTGGTGCCCTCCACCTTCAGAAATAGGGCGGGATAACCATAAACTTTGACGAGCTGCTAAGACGTGTATGAGCGACAGACCCACTTACTGTACTCTCAGATTCTATATGGTATCATTTCACCGTACGCCGCACAGAATATTTATTGGATGAGTTTACCGATCACCCACTTGTGGAGCAGAACCCAGTCAACTACTACTCAACATCATCACAGGGATATCGGTACAATGTACGGCCACCTCCCCATTATTTATAGTCTGCAAGATAACCCAATAGACTGTTATCAGTAAGAAAGTCTATGAGTAGCCTTTTCCTACCCTTGTCTTTGCTTCAAACTGTACAATGAGTTTCCTACTGTTAGTGACTTGGAATATTGCCTTATTGTAATGGCAGAAGCCAAGAGTCAGGCAACAGATCGTTTATTAAGGAAAATCAACACATATTTATAGATTTTAATGTACGCTATTGTAGATTATTGTTAGTAGGAAATACAGTCTTTTGATTGGTTGTTTCTCACGGAAAGTTAACCTTGCATCTCTTTGTGGTTGTGTTAGATGATCTATATGCTAACTGTATCCGCCTACGCAAAGTCTGCTGCCTATCTTTGACCTTGTTTTCACATGACTAATATTTGAGACATAAACATTGATGTCAGTTACTGTCTACCAATTTGGCTAGCAGCCAACTCTCACCACATTATGATGCAGCTCTCGACTGTGGTTTTCGAAGCTCTGCGTTTCTGTGCTGTGTACGGTTGAAGATGTTGCGAGATTACTTCGTGGTGGGTTTATCCGCTGAGTTTTCAAGGCTTCTGTGATAGTCCCATTCAGTACAACCTCTATTTGTCTTTCAGGAATTCAGTATTTTTCAAAGAGATGATGATCACCAGAAATTCTTTGTCTGTTCATGTTGTTACAGAGTAAATTGAAGGAAGCTATCGATTGGGGAGTCCAGTGACGTAATCAGTTCATAGTTTTCTGTGTCCTTACTCTTTGGTAATTGGGCCATCTCGACACGCGTCTTCTCCGTTGCTTAACTTCTGAATACAGACTGTGGTGGGAAATTAATAATCATAATCTACTTTATTCCCAAAACAGTACTTATAATACAGAATGGAATTCTCAGTATTTGTCACAATATTGCATCTGATTTACTCAAAATATATATAAAATTAAAAATTAAAACAAAATTAATCGGAGGAATTTGTCCACGTTTACGACATAATTATTGTATAATAATAATAACAAAGAGTTTGTTTCAAACGGTACTGTCGATTCAGTTAGCAAACTTTAGCATGTTATAGATTATTGGGTCTAATGTTCTGTTGATGTAGTATAGTGAGGGAAATACAAAATTAACAGTCATAATACAGATTAAAATTGTGACCACACTTATTAAAAAAAATAAACAAAACGAAAAACTGAGAAGATTATAAATATAAGAAATACAATAACAATAAAGTGTGATGCTTTAAAAGTGAAGGAAATGGTTTATTTAGTAGTGCAAAGAAGGTCAGTTAGTTCATTGCATAAAGTACGTGCTAAATATGGTATAGTGGAATTTTATACTTAGGCGTACGTGCAAGAATTCTTCTGAAAATACTTCTTATTTTATCTGAGGAGACACAAGGTTGGAGCTGCGGGTAGAGTGGGTGCTCAGAGTCTGACAAAATTCCTTTAGCGAATTTGTTGCATGACATCAAGTGCCCAATAGTGACAATGTCAACGATATGACCCAATTGGATACCGCTCGTCCTACTGTCAGCCTTCAGAGTTCTACGAAATACGAAATGGTCCTTTTTAAGGAATCCAAGAAAAAATAGAGGTGAACAGTAAAAAATAGTAGGTAAGATTCATGAGTTGACAAACTGTAGGATGAGGGTTCGGGTTATGCCTGAGTGCCTCAAATTCTTAATGTAAGATGTCAGACGAAATATTCTTTTAGAAATCGGTAAGACATGGGAAGGCCAGAACAGCTCAGAAGAAAGAAATAATCGAAGAAATTTAAAGTCAGATTGGTTTCTATATCACCACCATCAATTTTGCAACGGTCATAGGAATTAACAGCTTCATTTAACTTTCCTTTATATTGGAAACTGAAATTAATTCTGACATTTTGAAGGATTCAGTTTGACTCCTGATAAGAAGCTGTTCCTCTTAGTACAATCTAGCTGGGAGTTAACAAACGGTGAAATAGTTAGATCGTCTGCATACTTAAGAAGGTTCATTTCATCAAAGTGAGGCAAGTAATAAGAAGAAAGAAAACAGAAAAACAGAGAGGAGAGTGCCTTTAGGGACACGAGGCTCAGTAAGCAATGACTTAGACGAATTTCCCTGACATAGTGTACTGCTTCCTTCCTCAGGAATAAGAATGCAGCCGTTTGACAACCCAACAGTCAGTTTGGGTTTAAGCGAGCTTGTTTAACAAAATGTCCATAGGTACTGAGTCGAAAGTAGATGTGTAATCTAGGAAGGTGCAGCGAACAAATATAGCCCCCTTGTCTAACATAGAGACAATGTTATGATTCAAAACTGCAGCTGCATCTAAGGTACTTCCTCCATGTTTGTAGGCGAATTGTTTGGGATCGTTAGGGGCTTTAAGTAAAGGTTGAAGATTAAGTAATAGCAACCTTTACATAGTTTATAGAAAAGAAGAGATAAAAGCAATAGGTCTAAATCTAAAATATGTTCCAGTAGATGACGTAGGTATAGGTACAATTTTAATGTCCTTCCAAAAGGCTGGGACGAAATTTCTGGAAACCGATTCATTAAATATGTCCACGAGAGGATAACACAGGATATCTGCACGCTTTATGAGGAAAACACTATGCAAACCATCTGGTCCTAGGCTACAAGAAGGGTTCAGTAACTGGAGACATGTTGGAAGATCATTTGTATTGAAACCAGGGAAGCAGGTTTCATTAGCACTTGTAACACTAGAAAGTTTGGCATTTGTGGAAGAATGCATGAAAGACTTGTTCAGTGTACACACATCAAATGAATGAGAAATAATGTTGTAAAACTGGAAGTAATTAACTGCATAAAGGCGTAAGTTATTTATTATCCATGAAGTAGATACGCAAATACTGCAGTTGTTAATCATAGAAATGGTGGATATTAGATAATATCACATAATTCAAGAGCATATCGAAAATAAATAAAAATTGTTTCTTAGCTCGTTGTCAAGTAAAAACTCTTTTTGATGATGTCACTGCATATTAACAGATTAATGAAGTAGCTATCAAACCGAAGTTACCACATTTACTTGTACTACATACTTAACGTTTAGCACTATACAGACGTGCCACTCGCTTGATAAGGCGACTTTAGAGTATCAAACAGTACAGAAATATTATTCAACTTGCTAGATTTTACTAAGGTTTTAAAATGTGCTATTGCATAGAAACAGACATGAAATCTTACGAATGACTAAAGTAACAGTCTCATAATACTATCGGCCATGACTACAGCGCCATCTGTGGAGACTTTTAAGCGGAAGCTGGACAATCATGCAGAAATGCAAGGTTTTTGTCTCAAGGGCTTATCCTTTTAAAATTTAAAACCACACTGTCAATGGATAAGCATACAAAATAAATTCCCATGACCCGTTCTGTCTTCTCTCACTGTACCGACTACTCTGTCTTTTCCTTAGGTCACCTTTATTACTTCACTTATCTCAAACTATATTATCTACAGTACAACCTATTATTATTACTATTCTGCTTTTATGACTACACCGAATGACGAACGGGAGTTAGGTCAAACTCCATTCACGGCAGCAACACAGTCCTAACATGCTGCATACTACAAACCACATTTTGACCAATCCTCGCACCACTCCTCTTGGAGTCTACTACAGCTAAAGCAGTCGAGTGGTGGGACTTACTACGCAGAGGTTAACCGAAGATCTGGAACCTCTACCTTACAATCAAGAAGCGAGCTCAAAGAAATCACTCGTTTATACTAAGTCGTAATCAGAACATTTGGCATTGGATTGACACCATGTTTATCAATATTCAACGGCAATGGATAGGGGCACACACGGGATGTCGTGATGTGTTATCGCGATGTTGTGTTTGGGTTGTTCTACGTTGTTTTCAGGTGTTTTATCAACTGAAATGCATTAGAAATACCATATTTTAACTAAAAAACTTAGAAAAACGGTGAAAAGTAGACGTTTTTCAGCAGTTTGAGTGAACACGTATTCTTCATCAAATTTCGCTGTTTCTTTGCATGCGGAATGTTAAAATTCTGTGTAAATTGTTGATTACGTTAATTTAAACGAAATAAAATATTTAAATGAAGTATATTTTGCGAAAATCCGAAGTGATGCTTTGAATCTCTGAGTTCTGAAAATTCGGTTACAATCAGAGGAGTTTACAGCTATAGAGGAGTGTCACTTGATTTATTCGAAACATAAAACTGAAGAAACAAAGTTATTACTAAGATGTCCTTTCATTTTTAACAATTTTGTATTGGTAAGTACTTGCTAATAGAAGTATCACTGTTGTTGGTTTTCAGGTTACAATTGTAATTTACGCAATAGTGATATAACTATTTTTGGAATGCGTAATGATTTACTTCGAAAGAATGATAATTTGCGCAGTATAAGAATACTAGGATAGTTATATTTAATAGGGTATACCTATAATAATTTATTTTCGATGTATCTAGTCGTCCTACATTTTTTATTATGCAAATGTAGTGATCGCATAACATACATAAGCTCAACGTATAATTTCTGTGTAGCCCTGATGAAAGGTAATCTTTTACGCAGTCGGATTAAGTGTAACTGAAACATTTCGTGCAAGGCTTGATAACGCACTGAGGAAATAATAAAGGTTTACGACTATGACGCAATTCACACAAGTATTACTACGTTGCCTATCAATTTCGTTAACTATGTAATGTCCTCGAAATGATAAATAATAGAGAGATACAAGTAATCGACATAAATGCATATATTAACAAAATAACAACAGTAAAGCAGTACAATTTCACATGAAAAAGGATTTATAACAATTCAGTGAAAAAATTACAGTTGTAGATTTTTTATGGCTAAATCATAGTCAAATTAAAGTCCACTAATCGTTTTATTCATAATATGTGGATCAGTTTCCCTCACATGACAGAGAAACGACCCGTCTTTACAGCTTCCAGCACCACCCGATTCTTCAGAAGAAACTGGTTATGATCTTTCCATGCAATGATTGCGATTGTATTCCTTCGACCACCTCCCGCCGCACTGAGAAATATCTAAGGATGTATAGATATCAGGTGAATTAATCTTACCTCAGATGAACAATTCCTTATCTTAGCCACAATGAATGTGTGAACAAGGGAGGGAACAATAGTAGAATCGGTAAGATTAGTACATATATTCTATGACACATTTGAAAAATTATCGAACTTCCGATTTACCTTTCACAGTTTGTTTTCTGAAAAATGTGAATATTACACAACTGCCTCTCCTATCCGTCTGTTACAACCAGCTGAAAAAAGACTAAATTTTATACTTCTTTGATTATGTTATAGAGTAATACTTTTTTTGTTAACGGATCCAATGCATGACACATCTGTAAAATTTTACATATGTTAACTTGTCCCATTAAGCAGAAAAATGTAATGTTTATGCGATTTTTATCATTATCACTTCAAAGCCCGCCTCAGTAACGTTTGCTACGTATTAGCCGCAGCGTTTACGCAAAGGAAAATCCACCAATCACAATATACATAAGTGACCTTGAAGTGCTCAGCCTCTCCATAAAAGTTGTGTGTGACTATCCATTGCCCTTACGAACTAATGAAGTTGACGGATTCTACCATACGTTCATTTAAGCCCGTGAAATATTTTAAAGAAAACTGTGACAATATCAACTCCCTCAGCTTTTCCAGCAATGGAGAGTCACTTATATCTAGCAGTGATGATGACCAGATGGTGATTTATGATTGTTCAAGTGGAACGTAATTCTTATTTCCCATGCGACTGCTTTTTTATAGACCTAGACGAACCTTATTTAGCAAAAAATATGGAGTTAATCTAATACAGTTCACACACAGTCCCAGCACTGCTATTCACGCTTCTACTAAGATCGATGGTACCGTGATTTTAAATTAACCGTAAATTATTACAAGATACCATACGTTATCTTTCACTGCATGATAACAAATATATCAGATACTTTCAAAGCCATGTCTCAAGGTATGTTATGCTAAAATACGCCTATTTTGCAGGGTTGTTTCCCTATGTATGTCACCCATTGATGATACATTCTTGTCTGGTGCAATGGACTTCACCATACGCCTGTGGGATTTAAGGTCACCCAATTGCCATGTACGTTTGTTTCTTAATCATTTACTTACTGTGTTTGCGATATGTCACTCTTCCCATTGTTATGTTGTAGTTACACCTACAAAAAAATTTTCTCTGATGCTATTTATTTTGTAACAAGTGATAAGAATTATACCCGAAGTTGATCTTATGACATTTACGAAGCAATATGAAATGCCGTCCTACTTGGTAGGAACTTGAATTTATCGGCCTTTTACGCCGACATATAACTAAAGCATGAACTTATTCTACTTATTCGAAGCTGTTATAGATTATGCTGTCAGAAGGTTGTTTTGGAGTTGGGTTTTGTAGGCCACGTCATTCATAATTTGAGACTGATACGTAGGTGCAAAAGCTAGCGTGGCATTTACACACTTGTGTGATCTATGACGTAGACGCGATAGCCGGCTTTTGATCAAAGGACGTACTTAGAGCGCAGAGGTTTGCTCTGTCTTTTTATGGCTGTTTAAAGTCAAAGATATAATAAAACCAACTGTATTTGACCATAGATTTCGGCGTCCTAATTCTGTGTTAGTTGTTATAGTATGTTCAGGGATATTGTGGTTTGGCAGGTTGTCAGGTAATGAGGGTGTGAAGGTGAGTCGATTGAAACAGGATACCTTACTCATGTGAAGACACCGTTTTCATCGATGAAAAATGTTAGTTGAAATAGGGGTGGTCAGCTCAAAACCTAGTATCACTCCAAGAATTCATTGAAAGTTGGTTTATGCTAGGTGTAAACTACCTCGGTTCACTATGAACCAATGGCTGGAGACTCTTGATAATATAGCTCAAAACCATTCTCAATGGTACGGATGCATTTAATTTTTGTTTTCTTCTAAGTTCATTAAACCATAGGTTTATTCATGTTTCTATTCTTTCTCTTGTAAATTGATGCTTATTATAGTTCTTTTTAATCCTTTTTTGTCTAAGTTTGCGTGTTACATGGTATATAGCGACTTGAACTGTTGCACTCGTGCTGAGTCCTATGCTGAAACTCATTGAGTCAGTCAGTGATGTCTCGGTTCATAATTAAGGACAAAATGGATTCCCACTAATTCAGTAAAGCGAATAAAACAATAACGTAAATACTTTTAATTTTATCTGGATTTCAGTCCCCTTTTTTGTGTATTATCACTTGAGTTATTCATTTAGTTCTTCCTATAGTCTTAAAACTAGTTTGTGAATTGATTGTTTTCAAGGGTGTGATGCATATTTCTGGTCGACCTACAACTGCTTTTGATCCAGAAGGACTGATATTTGCAGCTGGAATAAGTTCAGAGTCAGTCAAATTGTACGATCTACGATCATTTGATAAAGGCCCTTTTGCTACATTCAAGTTTGGTGCGGAAGCGAGTGGTTGCTTTTGGACTAATTTGCAGTTTTCTCCAGATGGTAAAGCTCTTGTGATAACAACCAATGGCACCCATATTCGGTTGATTGATGCATTTAAAGGGACTCATTTGCATACTTTTACGGTAAGATAAAACTCTTATTTTTATGCTAGCCATTGGTGTTTACTTTGTGGAATAAATAGCATTTCATGTTTTCAAAAGACGATTAGATTGAATCGGAAAACTCTAACGTTCTTTAGGAGATCTTCATTTTAAGTAACCAACTCAAACAGCTGGACAACGTAATCGGAACCCTTGGCACGAATCCTAATCTTTGTATTTTCTCGATAAAAAGTATGTTGGTTGATGAAACGGCATTACTGAACTGCACAGTTAGTGAAAAGCGAATTAAAGCTTTCATCATCATGGTGTTAATGGTACTTAAGCTGTATAAGTAAGAACACAGAAAGTCTGACTTGCAAAGCGGAAAACGCACAGCATAAATAAAGTCTACACACATAACTTTCTCGCAAATGTATCCGGACATATATATAAGAACTATGAAAAAGAAGACCATCATCAGATAACATCACTGTCAACGAATTGGGATCTCACATGGTGTCATATAAGATAATATAGAGTTCTTATTAAAGTCGATGCCTGGGTACTCATTAATAATTGATTATTATCACATACAATGTTATTGACCCTGTGTGATAGACTTCTTTCATAAAATTCTTTGTAACGACTCTAAATAGTGGTATATGTTAAAAATGAGAGTGAGAAGTTAGTACTTGAAGCTTTCTACAAAATCAGCACCATGTATGAGTAAATAGAAGTAACTCATTTTTATTTTCTTCATGTCTAGACAGTTATGCACGTACATTTAAGCAGGTGTGTAAAAGTTATAGAGTTATCTTGGTATGCTTGTGATGGAGAAATTAACTCCTAAATATAATTCAGTATTCTTCTGTTGTGTAGATCTAACAGATAAGTAAATGTTATCAAGACCCTATTTAGTCAGGTTTTTAAAAATGAAACAATCGTTTTATGATATTAAGATGACTAAAATTTGTGCCAATATTTTACAAGTAATCTTCAGATTCGGTACGGGATACAAACCTTATTAAGACCAAAAAGGTTTTACATAGGATTGTGTACATTTATTTATGAAATATGTAAGCGGATAGATAAAGAACAACAGACTAGTTAAAAAAATAGAGATGGACAAAGATGTTTTTAAGTAATTCATTGTATTTTCCAAAGAATGGATACTGAACAAAGAATATTCTTTTCGATAACTTCAACATCAGGTTCTACAGATATATATACATAATAGTAAATGGATTAGTGTTATTAACATTAATGTTTCAGTAACATCTAATCAGTAATAATATCAATGGATTACAGTTCGATAGCATCAACATAAAAATTAACTGAATGTCAGAAAAATTAGGAAAGATAATGTTACAAACTCATGAATTTATAGTCTCTACTGAAGGCCAGGGCAGTAGTAGTGGCTGGACTTGCTTCTTTTGCACACAAAGCACTGGTTGTTTAAGGCGAATTGAGATAGCCTCTGCTGTTTAGAGCGTGTGGTGCTTCGATGTTTTTGGCAATTTATTAGGCATCCGGTAGATGATAGAGAAAGATTCTTCCACGCTGGCTTTGTGGCCAGTTTGCACCAGATGGTCCAATATCGAACTGTTAATGGTTTTAACTACACCTTTACTTAGCCATAGTGGGAGATGTTCTCGAGCACGAAAAATCAAGTTTCTAGAGCAACGGCCAATATAACTTGCTCCAGAAGCGCAGTTGAATTGGTAGATACAATTAGAAGTTTCTAGTCTATGTACTTCATCTTTCAATTGAGGAACCACCATTGATCGTGTAGAAAGTAAAACTTGTAGTTTACCAGCATTAAAAGTTTTTTGAACTGATTTTCTTAACTTATTCATAAACATTTTGCTAGGTATATCGTCCTTGAATTGCACTGGTGTGTATAAAGACTTCTTGTTTACGAACAGTGAGTAGTCGTTTTCAACTTTCTTAGTCATACGTTTTCTGATGAATTAGTCTGGATAGCTATTTTCGATCAAGTTATCATATACAATCCTTAGTTCATCTTCATTTACCTCTTCTGAGCATATAGCTGTAACCCTGTGACTGAGGGTTTTTACTAGATTTCTTTTGTACTGGAGAAGAACGAAGCTATGAAAATGTGTATATATTGCTGTCCATCTACTTTTGCTATACAAATTTCTAAGTATACTACCATCTGGTTTTTTTGTAAGGAGGACATCCAGGAAGGCAATTCTGTTTTGGGATTCCTCTTCGCACGTGAATTTCATAGTAGAATGTACTTCATTGAATTATTATTGTGTTCCTATCCGAATCATTATCACAAAGAATAAAGGTATCATCCATATACCGGCAATAAAATGAGAATTTTCTGATAAGGTTGTTCAGAGGTCCATTTCCTAGTTTACTTAGAAAGAAATCTGCCAAAATGGGACCCAATAGGGAGTCTATCGCCAACCTGTCCACTTGTCTGTAAAGTATGCAATCAAATTTGAAATTTACATTCATGGTACACCTTAATAACAGTCCTTTCAGGATTTCCAGTGGGATGCCAATATTTGTCGACTGGTTATACACTTGTTTACATAAGTAGTTAACCGTTTCTACTATAGGTACATTTGTGAATAGAGATGTTGTGTCCAAAGATATCATAGTTTTATCCTTGATATATCTTTGATTTTGTCTACGAATTCCAATGCATCTTTGACGCTCTGTTTCACTATCTGTTCATGCAAAGGTTTGAGAATATTTACTAACCATCTAACTAGAGCATGGTAGGGCGAAATTTGCATATCAATTATTGGTCTTAGCTGTACATCCGGTTTATGTACTTTAAGTAGGCCATACAATCTTGGCATGTACGTGCCTGTTGGCCTGATTTCTTAATATGAACTTTCAGGAAATATCTGCTCCTCCCTGAGTTTCTTCAGACGTCTGGTTGATTCGTTCTCTATTTTGTCATTGAAATTTCTCATCTCAAGTTTTCGAAACTTCTCTTTGCCTTTCAATATATCATTCATCTTTTTAATATAGTCACTTCTATCGAGGAAAAGTACTCGTGATCCTATATCAGGCTTTGTGATTATCAGTCTTTCGTCATTTATCATTTTATTTAGTTCTTCTCTGTGCTCCATTGTCAAGAAATTTTTACTGTCGTATTTGGTGTTTTTTTTACTGATAACAACCTTACATGCCTTTATTTGTGTAATAAACATTATATAATTTCATATGATTTATGATTATGAAGAATTGCTTTATTATTCAGATTAGATTTTAACCGATACACATTCCTAAATGATATAGGTGGTACCAAACGCTGAGAGACTGATGTTAAATGCAACTTTCACACCAGACAGTCAGTTTATATTGGTCGGTTCGCCAGATGGAGTTGTTCATATTTGGTCAGTTGAAACTGGAGTACGTGTGGCAAGCATACCAGGTTATGAAAATGCTAATAATTTACTAAATCCAGCTATTAATAGCATGGCATTCAATCCTCGGTTTGCAATGCTAGCCACAGGGTCATTTCAAACGTGTTTATGGCTCCCAGCATTGGAAGAGTAAAATGAATATTATGCATGTATCATCTTTCGAAAGCACTGTGCGTCTCTTGTCTTTGTACATACTTTAAAATAAAAAATCCTTTTACAATTTACGCTTGTTATTCCTAACGACTTTTACAAAATTAATACTTCTGATTCAGTTGAAGTATATATAGGTTTAAAATTCCGTACTTGGTTTTTATTTATTCACTTAGTATCCCCTTGGGTTCCTAGTAAAAAGTAAGGCGGTAGCAGCACATCTCCATTTCACTCAATCCTTTCCAGTCCTTTGCGTTTAGCTCTGATATTGCCCATAAGCTTTCACATCTCTCCACGATCTCCTCCATGTCTCACTCGGACTCGCAACTCATCGTTCCCCATTCGTGTCCTGCTAGATGACCCGGTATGTAATATCACTTTATGGTCTCCTAAGCGTGTACCCAATCCATCTCTATTTTCTTCTGTATATATATATATATATATATATATATATATATATATATTGAGGAATAGGTTCCATGTTGGTTTGTTCATGGATTTCCTTGTTACTAATCCTTTTGGGCCAATTGATTTTATCGATGTCATTTTGACGATCTATTAGAATGAAGACAGCACCTTTGTCTGAACGGATCAGCTCAAAGTCTTTATTTGTCAAAATCTCACGTAGTTGCTTTGATTGCTCCACTGAAGTCAGTCGTCTGGCGTTTGATTAGTTGTTAACATATTGATGATAGCTGTTCAACACTTTTGACTTGAACTGTTCAAGTAATTTGTTTAACACTGGGAGGAGATCATTTGTTTGACAGATCAGTCCTTCGCACTAGACTGTTATATCTAGTCCGTCCGAAACTTTCAAAATGACGCCGAATTTTTGACCCAACGACAAAGATTGCATTTGCATAGGAATTACCAATATACTGCAGTAATTCAACACATATTTCTTTTGTGTAGCAAGGGGACGCAGGTATGTATCAGCTGCCTTAAGATTATTTACAAGTTCGAGATTTGCATCTTTACAACATCTTGAAATTGAATCGTTGTAGTCCATAAAATTCCTCTGTTCGTCTTATGTTCTAAATCCAAAGTTTCTTTTCACTTCCAGTAACCGAAACTTTATTTCATCAGTTACATTTAGCATGTGACATTTCAAAGAACGATAATTTTAATGGATATAATTGGTGTAAAGACATCTTCAGTAATGCTTGGGATATTGTTTCTTATCTATACTGCTCTTCAGAAATCTGATTCTCGTGTTCACTAAGACAAGCTTGACAAAAGACATAAGAAAGGTATCAGGTTTCCTCACTGTCACAGAGTTGTTGTTAAAGTAAGAGATAATTCATCGAAGAAAATTCTCTTCATCGACGAAATTGTTTTCAGAGTGTGTACACTCGTATTTATATTTCATGAGAAGTCCCCATTCGAACATTAATAGAGAGAAGACTCCATCAAAGCACGTATTCCAGAACTGCAACGCAACATTTCACTATGGTCCCCGGCCTTCCACGATTCGCTGCCTAGTGAAATTCAGAGGTTTACAGAATACCTCAATAGAGTCACTGGGAAAGAGTCACAGTCTACTATATCCCAACTCATGAAAAGCCTCAAATCTATCAAAGCACAGAAAGTTTCCTGATTATTATTATTATTATTATATTATTATTGTATCCTTTAATTCCTACAGGAACATAGGGCTTCAGCCGTGCGTCTCCATTGCGTTCTGTTCTCTGCTAGAGTCTTCACCTGGCTCCAAGTCTGCCCACACGTTTTCATCTCCTCTTCACATGACCTCCTCCAAGTCACACTTGGACGACCAACTCGCCGCTTCCCTTTCGCGTTCCACTCAAGGGCTTGTCTAGTGATGTCACTTGATGGTTTCCTAAGAGTATGGCCAATCCATCTCCATTTCTTCCTGCCTAAATGTTTTACAATCGGTTCCTGGTTGGTTCGTTCCCAAAGATCCCTGTTGCTGATCTTTTCTGGCCATCTGATCTTGAGTATTGAGCGAAGACAACTGTTAATGAAGGTCTGTAGTTTGTTTGAGATGCTCTGTATGACGCGCCAAGTCTCTGATCCGTATAGTAGCACTGACTTCACATTGGAGTTGAAAATCCGGATCTTATTTTTGATGCTGTGTGCTGTTGATCTCCACACAGGCTTGAGAGTAGTGAAAGCTTGTCTTGCTTTGATATCCTCGTCAGTTCCGCCGGTCTGTAGTTGAAACGATGCTTCCAAGGTAGGTAAAGGAGGTTGTTTCTTTCAGGTTCCTTCCATTTATGCTGATTGTTGTCTGTTGGTGGTGTTGCCCAGGAATTTTCATCACCTCTGTTTTCTCTATGTTCACCTGAAGTCCTATCTCCTCTGGATGCTTCTTCTGACAACTTGTCGCTTTTCACTTGCATATCTTCCAGTTTGTGGGAAATCAGACATATATCATCGGCGAAGTCCAGATCCTCCAAGTTTTTGTGTGAGTACATTTTATGCCTGTTTCCTCATTGCCCCCTGTTTGTCGCATTATCCAGTCTACTGCAATCAAGAAAATCATTGGCGATAGTAGGCAGCCTTGTCTTACTCCTGTCCTCACTTCGAAGGGTTCCGTAAGTTTCCCATTGTGGATTACTTGGCATGCAGCATTGCCGTACAGCTGTTGGATGAGATGTATAATTGTCGGTGGCACCCCGTTGTAGTGAAGTAGTTGCCAAAGCACCTCTCGATCGACGCTGTCGAAGGCCTTTTCAAAGTCGATGAAGTTGAGATAGAGAGGTGACTGCCATTCCAAGCTTTGTTCAATGATGATCCGTAATGTGGCGATCTGATCAATGCATGACTTGTTTCTCCTGAATCCAGCCTGTTCCGGTCGAAGTTTTTCATCCAGGGCATGTTTGATTCTCTCCAGGATGATGCGGCCGAGTATTTTGCTTGGGATGGACAGGAGCATAATTCCGCGCCAGTTCTTGCATTGACTTAGGTCTCTTTTCTTTGGTAGTTTGAATAAGTATCCTTTCTTCCAATCCTCGACTACTTTGCCCTCTTTCCACACCTTCTCCAGTAGTGGCGTCATCAAGTCCGCTGTTGTCTCTGGGTCCATTTTCAATGCTTCTGCTGGGATTCCATCTGGTCCTGCTGCTTTTCCAGCTTTTAGCATCTTGACTGCCTTCAGGACTTCTGATTTCGTCGGGGGTTTGCTGTTCACTGGTAGCTCTGTCTCCGTTGTTGGTATTGCTGGGAGCGTTGTAGGTGGTGGTCGATTTACGAGTCTTTTGAAGTGTTCAGCCCAGTGTTTCCTTTGCTCCACTTCTTTGTTGAGTGACTTTCCATTGTCATCCTTCACCGGCTTGATTTGTGTCAAACGTTTGCCCCATAGGTACCTAGTTGTTTGATAGAGTGTTGCGAGGTCTCCTTTGCCTGCAGCTTGTTCTGCTTCACTTGCCATGGTTTCATAATACTTTCTTTTCTCTTCTCTGGCACTCTTCTTTACTCTTATGTTCAGTGTCTTGTAGCTTGCGTTCAAATCCTGTTTTTGTTGCTCATCGGTGCACTGAATTATCTTCTGTTTCACCATCCCTCTCTCTTCTATCAGTCTCCAAGTGTCTGTAGTGAGCCATTGTTTGTCCTGTCTCTTCTTTCTGCCTAGAACTTCCATGCAGGTTTGACTCCACACTGTTTTCAAGTTGTTCCAGTGATTTTCGACGCTGACCTCTTCGCCAGTGTTGATTTGTGTCTCGGCTTTGTCTATTATGCTTGCAGTGAAGATGTCCTTTGTGTCCTGGTCCTTCAGTTTTTGAGTGTTGAACTTGGCTTGTGGTCTATCTGCAGCTCCTGATTCTCTGAAACCTTTTAATTTGATTTGGATTGTCCCTTGTACGAGATAGTGGTCTGAGCCAATGTCTGCTCCTCTTCTTACTTTCGTATCCAGCAGGCTGCGCCTCCACTTCCTTGAGATTAAGATGAAGTCGATTTGGTTTTTGGTTCTCCCATCTGGTGATACCCATGTAGCCTTGTGGATATCCTTGTGTTTGCATACGCTGCCACCAATCACTAGTTCATTGAAAGCGCAGAAGTCGGCGAAGAGTTCTCCGTTTTCATTCATTTCTCCGAGAGCTTCTCTACCCATGATGAGTTCCCTTCCTGTGTTATCTGATCCCAGTTTGGCGTTCATGTCTCCCAAAGTTTCCTGATGACCCCACGAAATTCGTGTGCGTCGGTGGCACAGTGGTTAGGACTCTCGCCGACCATGCATATGGTCCGAGGTTCGAGCCTCTGTCGGCGCACACCCGATATCTATGGTCGGCCTGCAAAATTTGGGCTACCGATATCCATGCTGAAAATGCCATACTTGTACTGAAAATACGGTGTGGCATCAAGCTGTAACCAAAATAAAAATAAAAAAATAAAAAAAGTATTTAACTACTCTTCAGTTCTTTTATCCGACTTGCAGTTAGAAGCTTTATCCTTGGGTCCAAAATTTTGTGACATTAACTAAATGCCAATGTCTGTCTGTCTGTATTCGACATAGAACTTTTTACCGATATGCGGCAGTTCAAGCTGCCACACTCCATGTAGCACACAAAGCAAGAGAAGAAAGTAGAAGAAATGCATAATATAGACAGTAAGTTGAGGTGTGAGACAAAGGAGTAGTAATAACGAAGAACAATATAGTTTCATTGGAAATTTTAAGTCACAAGGAGTGGATGCATCTGCGCCTACCACTGAGATCGATTTTGAGGCATATCACCATTTGTTTCCAACCATTGGATTTTACCGTCCCGAGGACCCCAACCAGGAAGTCTACACCTTCCTACGTGGCTTAGACTAACTGTTGTGGATTTCATTGACTGGTGCCATGTTTTGGTTTGATCGCCGCTAGCTCTTTTCCAGCCTGACCCTATGTCAGCTGACATTGCCCATCGAGGAAGGCGATGACTAGGCATACGTAACACATTTCCTAACCATCTCAGTCGATGTAATTTCACAGCCTCGTCGATTGATTTCCCCTCCTTACGTAGCACTCGACGCCCTACT